TAATAGTCCACACACACGGCATTGACACGACACACCCAGCGGCGCAGAAACCGCAGCGCCGTTGTGCTGAAAAATTGTGATTTTAGCAGCATTGTGTTCACTCTGGTTCAGTGATCAGAAATTATGCATGTGCTTTGTTGTCCATCGTGGCTGATGTGGCGGCGAGCAGAACACGTAATAAAAAACAATCCGCGTGATTGCTCACTGTCTTAATTTCTCTGCGTACAGCGGCAGCGGCAACGAGTCAAACTCAGTTGATTTCGCTCGTCGCGTAAAACAGGGATGGCGCCGTGCATGATCAGTGGAGACTGCCGCCTTAAGATATAATAGATTTGAAGCTTTGCCGGTAGGGGGTGAACGATCGCCGCGTTTTCCGTGGCATTCCGTGCTGCGCGGCGTGTGTTGGAGATGGGCCTTTAGGCGGCATAATATTATGAATGTGCGGTGTTAAGTGTATCTGTCCTAAAGAACTCAATTAGGCGGTTAGATCCAGAGTTAGACGTGATCCTGTAACGTGTAGTGTGTGGCTGTCAGTGTGTGTGCGACGACACGTGTGTAGAGTGCCTGCGGCAACCTGTACACGACTATAGTACTTAGACTACCTAGAGCTTAGTCAGCCTCAAGTGCAGGTATGATCTAGCTCCAAAGAAACGTATGTGCTATTAGAATACCGTATGTACCGTGTACTTGTATAGTGACGTTCCGCCCCAAAAGGGTGCCCCCGAACCACAGCTGGTCGGGTACAGCACCTATATCTAACACGATACCCCCAATGCTATGCAGCCGGGCTAGGAAGGTGTCAGCACCTTCGTTGCTCGCATGGGGGATCGTGTTAGATATAGCCTATAGTATAGTGCCTGTGGTCGGGTAGTGTAGTTGACCAAGAAAACTTCACGAGGGAAGTAGTGTGGGGTTGCAGTTCGGTCCGGAAGCACATCTCTGCTCTCCTCAAACCCTAGAGCTTTCGACGTTAAATTGCAACAGTCGCTCGTCCACTGCCTGGCGCCCGCCCGTCCAGCCATTGCTCACATTAGACTATTATTAATTTATAAAATCGCAGTCCACACTTGAGGACTGACCAAGAGCAATATAAACCAACTCGATTGATATAAGTGGGCTCTGACTTGACCCATGTTGGACAAGTTGCCACAATCAAGTCGTAGGCGGCCCCCCCCCCCCCTGGGGGGGGTTACCGACAAGAAGGCAACTATCGCCAGTGATAATTACGGCTCTAGCGTGCATCTATAGGCGTCGCAGCCATAAAAATAATATAGATAATGTATATTAAATCAAGAGCACATAAATAGAGTCCTGCTATTAATGGTAGCTTCTTGACTTAATATCTATATTATTTTTATGGTCGCAGCCAACCTCTGGCCATGGGTTTGATCATAAGATACACATGTGGTTGCCATATAGCATATATCAGGCCCTCATATCTGGTTCTGATTCATGAGATAGCAGAAGTATATAATAGGCAATAATCTACTTCTGATAATAGGAAAACTAATAACACCACGTACAGGCACGAACAATAAACAAAGCATAAAGTGATAATTATGACTGACTAGTCCATGCCCGTTTAGGTGGTCAGCAACTTCTGTTTCACATACACAACACACACACAGCACCATCGTCGGCACACACACCACCACACACACACACACACACACACACACACACACACGCATGGCGCGCCGGCGACACAGACACCCACACCCAACACCACATTACACACACATACCACACAAACGCACACACACAACACACACACACATGCGCGCGGCGCGACACACACCGCCCCAGAGCGCCCGCGGCGCGCATTAAAACACACACACAGCGCACGCATACACCAAACACTAAACACATCCACATCATCCACGCGCGCGCGGCGGCATAAACACACCAACCACACACCATACACAAAACACATACGCTAGCACGCACACACAGACACACACCACAGACTACCTACACACACACACACACAGCACAACACACACACCACACAGCACACACACACGCCCCACACAACACGCGCGCCGCGCCAAAAGCGCAACGCACGCACGCACGCACACACACACACACACACACCGCCGACACACCACGCACACACACAGCAAGCACACACACAGCACACACATACACACCCACACCCACACACACACCAGGCCACAAGCACACACACACAGCAGCACGCACACACACACCACATTTTACAGCAAACACAGCGGCGCATACACACAACTCAACTAAAAAAAATTAAGATAGCTTGTAAGAGTATATAAGAGTCAGTGCTAGAGCGTTGACGTTAAACGTTGTAAACGTTTTAACGTTTAGGGTTGAAAATCTTCCCTGTGCGTACATCAGGAGTTTCTTGACAGCGGGCGAACTTTTGGGGGCGGTATGCTGTCAATGCTTATATCTCGACGTGTCAGGATGCCTTTCTTTTTCAAGTTTTGGTGGCATTAGCTGGGGACTTTTAGCAACCATTTTTGCCCGTGTGAAGTTTGACTATCGTTATAAGGAAATGCGCTCCAAAAGACGACTTGGCCAGTGTCGGGCCGCAACGACCACTCACCACGGAAATTTAGTGGGACCACGAGTTGCCGAGAATCAAACCGGTGATTGATTTCTCACCACGAAAATTGCTCGTGGTGGCAACTTGTGGAAGTGTGCTGTGACGCGCAACGGCCACATAAAATTGGCCGACCACCAGAAAATTGGCCTGTACGAGCACGAAAATGGTGAAGCTGTGCTGCTAGCCTTTAGATGGAGCGCCTTTTGGTATACATTGTTTTTTACATTGCCATTGGTTTCGTGTTGTGACGTGGCAAGACGCGCTTGTGCAAAAATTCGCACTATTTCAATGTTTTGAATCGTGAATGTGCAAAAATAATGAAATTGTGAAATAAAAATAGCCCATGTGCAACGTGCACATCGATCTGCTAACATGTTCGACAAGTTGGTAAAGGATGCAGTTGAGCGTGGCGGAAACTATATAGCCTAGACACACCCGCCGTCGCGGCCCGCACATACATCACCCCACACACAACGACAACACAACACACGCACAGTACACACCACACACAGCACACGACAGCACGCGCACACGCACTACGCACACCAACGCACACACACGCACACACACAGTCACACACACGCACTACGCACACGCACACGCAACACGCACACCACACTGCACACGCACACGCACAACGCAAACACACACACCACACACAGCACACAGCCGCACACACCAGAAATCCCAATTTACAGTACAGATAATTCCTATGTGCACTCACTATTTAATCGACTGGGTGTACTGGCACGGAGGGGGAGGGCTGATTGCAATAGAACAAACAGCATTCCATAAAACAGCTGCACTGTAGCTAGGAATGTTTGTTGTAGATGAGCATTTAGACAGCATTTACAAGAAATTGTCGGCAATAATAGGTGAAAGAGAGTATAGAAACATTAAGACTTTGGTAGTAAATAGATTTCGTATTTATTTAGCATTATATTTTATTGAAACGCTTCAAGTGCCTGTGAACACGCACACACGAATTAACGCACGCATATCTATCTAAGAGAGAGGTGTATGGGGTGGTGGTCTCCCCCCCCCCCGGCTCTCGCGCGTCCCTCCCGTCTTCTATTCCTGAATCACAAAAATTTTCTTGGTTCTACGATAATTAAATTAGTCCAAATCAACGTCTCATAACTAACCGTTTCCTTTTCATCTAATACATCTTTAAAGGTAAAACTCCCTGGATTGGTTCCCGAACCTCACGCCAGTTTATAAATTTTGTCTGTCTATATCCCTCTGTCAGGGCGATTTCAGTCGTTTCACGTTCAACGGATGTGAGCAGGAACATATCTTTCCTACACACGTGTCCGTCTGTCCGTCTGTCCTTCCGTTTTTTTTTCAGTCGACGCACACATAAACGTGGTTAAGCAGCTACGTGAAATCTTAAGCGTGATTGCAGCGGCCTCACGGATCTGTGCTATAAATTTTAAAACATCTAATACGCCATAGACACTTAACCTAACATTTATTTTTGATATAGACGGTGTACTATGGGTGTAGGACTGCTGTACCGCAACACTTCTAATTCCAATAATGTATTTTGGGCCGTCCAAACCGTAGAGAAACACACGCACATGTATGTGCTATATATGTCACGTGCCTTTCGTGATTCCATGTTCAACAGCAAGTGTGTTGTCAGGTGCAGCCATAGGTGCAGGTGATGCCGCAACTTGCGATTCGCCGTGTACGGAGGCGTGTCTGGTCTGCTGAATACGCTGCTCTGCATACACAGCCGTAGATACCGGGCTCTCGTCTGGTACATACACTGCAGAGGTCCAGTTCCGCCTAGGGTTTTTTTGATCTGCTAAAAAAATTACAGAAAGGTTTAATAAACAACTCGCATGTAATTACAGTTGCAATGAACTGTTTATAATAAGATTATAAGTGAGTTAATAATGATCTTATAATCTCATACAGGATGATAGTTCTATTACTGTTTGTAGATGGTTTTACTATGACAAGATTATCTCGCACGAGTAAGAGAAATTTCATTCTCTCACGAAGGGAGTGAGTGTCCGTTGTAATACTATCACGAATGTGAGATACGGTTGTCTCATTGCATGAATTATTTAACTCATAATAAATATAATTTTTATATAAATGCTTTATGAACATGTATTATTTCTTATCTGCTTCTTGAAAGTGCAATCCTACCTGTGATGATAATGGTGACGATCGTTACGGCTACTAGAAATGCAGACATCCGAATAAACAGTCGAAAATCGGCCTTCATGATTGCTTACTACAGGAATAGAAATCATGTCACCAATAAAAAAGTGATAACATCACCGCAAATAGTACTAGCTGTTTTAGAAGATTATAGAATTTGTGAAAACAGTCTTGATTCCATTCATACTTTATGAATAATTAATTTTATTATATACTAGTAATATAATTAAATAACTATCTATGAAAGTACATTTTTGGTAACTGTCGACAGCCGTCATGTTGAAGATGTCGGCGACGTTGTTTTGCCTGAAGTTCTTCATGTAACGTGATGTTGTGCACACAATCGGCATCTTCCTCAATATGATAGATTTGGATAACATTTGTCACGCATAGTTACATTTATATTGCTGAACGGCGCATATATGACCGCCGGAGAATGTATAACTGTTGTGTATAAAAGTTGCAAAGATATTAAAAATCCGACCGTTATTTCATAATTTTTTTTATAAAATAGTGATACGAAATAGTACGCGGATTGTGCGCCCATTTACCTCTTTCAAATCATACGCTGTTTACGAATCTCTATTCGCTGGATTTCCCCCGAGCTCCGCCCACTTTAGAAATAGTGCTAGCATTGTGGCAGTGGTATCTTGAGTGTGCGAAGGGGCACTGCATGCAGTTTGATTGTGGCAGTGGTATCCTGGACCTGGTTCCACAGTCCGAGTCGTGGATTAACTTTAACCCTGAGTTAAGACTAACTCTGAGTTAAACTCACTAACTCTGAGTTAGTAAACTCCGAGTTAAATTTGGGTTTCATAAACATGGATTAAATCCTGAGTTAAATAACTGAGAGTTAACTCAGAGCAACACTCAGAGTAACTCAGAGTTAGTATCACATAATTCCACATAGTTAGAACAGACGAACATGATAGACGCATAGACGATAGACGCATGATAGAGGCACGAACATGGTAGAAGATGTAATAAAAAAACGTTATAATGAAAACCGGCAGCGATAAATAAATGAGGGAAAATATTTTGCCAATGCGGGGGACCAGCAACGTTCGCGCCAGTAGCACGGCGCTTTAACAACTGCGGCTATTTCGACATTGCTAAATAT